CTTTTTTTTTCTTTTTTTTTTTTAATCTAGGGCCCACTGGGTGACAAAGGAAATCTTTTTAACAGCTGTCTTTAATCGTTCTAAAATGGACCTAGTGAGATTGCTTAGTCTCCAGGGGAAAATTTGTTGTGTCTTGTTCTGTCCATTTAAAAGTGTTTTTTGTTTGTTTGGTTTGGTTTGGTTTTTGTCTTTTTAAACAATGGTGGGTTTTACAGATCACTGGTGGAAAAAGAGACATACATTATGAAAGAGAAAGGAGTAGAACTGTCTCTTTTCCTTTGGGCTCAGCCCAGGGGAACTCTTCTCCTTCCCTGGGACTGCTTAGAGCAGGCACAGAGGGAGGGATCTCACCTGGGGCAAATATTTTCCCTCTGTGTGTGCATTCTATGTAGATGACAGGGGGCCCTGGACAAGAAGCCAGACCTCTCCCCACATCCACACAGGGACCAACCCTGACTGAGCAGGAGGCAAGCAACAAAACAAGCAACTGTTCCTATTCCTAGAGTGAGAGGTGGAGGTTTTTTTTTTTTTTTTTTTTTTTTTTTTTTTGGTGGTGGTGTTATTTTTGTTTTTGTTTTTTATGGTTTCTCTGGGTGACCTGGCAGAGCCAAAATGATTCCTGTCCCCAACAGGATGGGGCACAGGTCTTAAGCCAGGAGGTCCTTACACCAGAGAAAGCCACTGGTCAATACAGGAGAACAGGACTGACAGGAACACATTAGCAAGACCCACAGAGACACAGAGAGACACAGTAAAAACAACCAGGGTGACCACCACACATTAGTACACCTGAACAAAGGGATCTAGAAACATTTCACATGGATCCCAGACACCGGATTAGCAATTGTGTCCAACCTCTTCTATGTATGAGTCCTAACAAAAGGCTCCTTAACCAGACTTGTCTCTGGAGGTGACAGACTAAGCAACTTTCTAATATGTTTCCTTTTAGGGTGGAAGTCATTGGGCAGTGACAGAACAAAGGGAGACCTGGGTACCTGGAATCTCAGGTTGTGCACCCTCTAGAAACTGATTCACCTAGAGGCTCTGAGACTTGCCAACCCTCTCTCCCCTGCCTTAGCCTCTGGAGTAGCTAGGATGACAATCTTGTACCAGTATACCTGGCCTCACTCGGGCTTTTAAATCGATGGGATAAGAAATTGAAATTATAATCCAGGCCTTTAATCCCAGCACTTGGGAGGCATGGACAGGCAGATTTCTACGAATTCCAGACAAGTTTGGCATACAGATGGAGTTCTAGGCCATCTAGAGATACATAGAGATCCTGCCTCAAAATAAAACAAAAAAAAAAAAAAGAGGAAATTATACAGGAGAAACATGTACACAACAAGATTCCACACTACAAAGGTTAGTTAGTTTAGACAGGAGAGCTATAGGATTCAGAGCTCAGTCTGCACGGGAATACTAAAACTGGCCACTAGGGGGCAGAAAAACAAATCCTCACGTGAAGTTCCCACTATTCGTGAAACCTTAGGGATGGTTTGGGAAGGTCCCTAAGAGTCCATTTCTATATATATATATTCCTTTTCAAAGCTTTATTTTTTGGGAGGATGGAGAGATGGCTTAGCAATAGAGAGTGCTACTGTTTTTTAAGAGATTCTGAGTTCAATTCCCAGCACTCACATCAGTTGCTCACAGCCCCAGTAACTCTAGCTCCAAAGGTTATTTTATGCCTCTGGCCTCTTCAGACACCCACATATATTCACACACCTATACACATGATTTTAACTATTTTGTCTATTATTGTGTGTTAGGGGTATTGTCTGTTTGTACGTACTGCATGTGCATGGAGGTCAGAGGACAATTTGTGGAATTTGATTCTCTCCTTCCACCTCTACACACACAAGTCACAGGTATGGAACTCAAGCCACCAAACTTAATGCAACAAATCCCTCTGCCCACTGAGCCATCTCACAGTCATATACACCTGTTTCTGACAAGGATTTTGAACCTTCTAGCAAAACTAACAGTTGTCATCTGGGCCAGAGAGACCCCTGGCAATGCCAATTCCCAAGAAGTTTTGAGGGCAGTTGTCCCTAAAGAATAAAGGGGGAAGGGAATCTGGCAGGACATTTCTTTTATGTGTGTGTGTGTGTGTGTGTCTGTGTATTTTTATTTGCTTATTTTTATTACATGTACAGTGTTCTGTGTGCATATTTGCCTGCACGCCAGAACAGGGCACCAGATCTCATTATAGATGATTGTAAGCCTCCATGTGGTTGCTGGGAATTGAACTCAGGACCTCTGGAAGAGCAGTCAGTGCTCTTAACCTCTGAGCCATCTCTCCAGCCCCAGGGCATTTCTTAAGAATACCAAACTCCCAAGGGTGGTGGTGGTGGTGGTGGTGGTGGTGGTGGTGGTGCCCACCTTTAATCCCAGCACTCAAAAGGCAGAGATAGGTGGGTCTCTATGAGTTTGAGGCCAGCCTGGTCTACAGAGTGAGTTCCAAACAGGCTCCAAAGCTAGAGAAACCTTGTCTCAAAGAAAAACAAACAAAACAAAAAAGAATACCAAGCTCAGCTGGACAATGGTGGTGCATGCTGTTTAAGGCCAGCCTGGTCTACAGAGGGAGTTCCAGGACAGCCAGGGCTACACAGAGAAACCTGTCTCAAAAGCAAAAGCAACCACAATAAAAAGAATATGAAGCTCTGCATAAGCTTCACCAACAGGGTCCCTCCAAACATTCTTGGAGATGGAAGGACAGGCCCACACCATGGCACTTCCGTGGAAGTTAGAGGAAAACTCTATCATGTGGTAGGTTCCAGGGGTTGAATCCAGGTTGCCAGGTGTGGCTGCAAGCTCTTTTCTCCACTAAGCCCCTCGCTGGCCTAGGGGGTCATTTAAACCGATGAAATCCTGCAGATGGAGTTTTTCTACAGAACTAAACAAAATTGAGATTCATAGTAAAGCCCATGCCTTGAATTAATTGCAAGACTCCTCAAAAACCTGAGTCCAAAGTTTTACACTTTTCCTATGTGGGGGTCCTGATAAGCATTATTTTAAATTAAAAATGGTCAAAAACCAAAACTTTTATATTGGGCTGGGGATGGTGGCACATGCCTTTAATCCCAGGACTTGAAAGGCAGAGGCAGGCAGATCTTTGTGAGTTCACTCAGCCTGTCTAATGAGACCCTGTCTCAACAAAATCCCATAAATCTCAGTGAGAACATGTTAACTGATAAACTTTATTCTGGAAGCAAAGTTAACTAGGAAACCATGCTACAATATGCCACACAAGGTCAGACCTCATGAGGCCACTAACATGAGTCATGTGCCCTGATACAGGTGCTTGTCTCAGCAAGATGTCACCCTAGCAGACCATCAATACATAGTAGGTAACACCACAGCCAATTTTATTCCACTTGGGTAGCTTGAGCAAAGTGCTGGTGACCTGAGGCCTCAGGTCCTTGATCTGTGCAGTATGCCCAAGCCCAGCCAGTGTCTCATTTACATGTGAAATCCAGGTGTGAGCTCCCCAACACCATCCCTCCAGTGTGGACAGACAGATGAACTCAGTTCCCACTCATCCCTCACAGAACCGTGATGAAAGCAGGTCCAAGAAACTGCAAGACTAAGATGCTGGGAAAAAAGGATGTGTAAGGCGAAAACACAGGCACAAGAGCAAAGTCAAATGTAGGCAAGCCTACAATTGCACTTCCAACTTAGGTGTAGAAACCCCTAGCAAGTAAAGACACAACCCTCCCAAGTTCTCTTCCTCCACAAGATACTTTAATTGTAGGAAGCAAAGCTACTCCATTTTTGTAGTCAACACATTATTTAATACTTCTAATGTTTATAGTGCATCAAATAAAGCCACACATTCAAGTGAGTAAAAAACAAAACAAAAAAACCATGAGAGACCCTACTTTTCCCATAAAACACAGGGAGATGTCCAGATTATTAGTTTTTATATGTGTGAGGATGTATACTTCATGTATGTGCCCTTGGTGCCTAGACAACAGTGTTGGATCCCCCCAGAATAGGAGTTATAGGTGGTTGTGAACTACCATGTGGAAGCTGGGAATTGAATTCTGCAAGGACAGCAAGTACTTAACCATAAAGCCATCTCTCAAGTCCTTCTAGAGCTGTGTGCAGCCCTATCCAGCTTTTGCTGCATCTTAACAGAGTTTTCAGAAGCCTGATTCATAGAAAAGACCATACATTTTGTTTAATAAAATGTTTATTTAGGATGTTAACACAAGATAGATCATGCAAGAGCCCAGTTTAAAAAAAAGAAAAAAAAAAAAAAAAAAAAAAAAAAAAAAAAAAAAAAAAACCTAAAAAGGAATGATAATTGGTGTTGCCAATTAAAAAGATTGTCAATCATTTTATCACCAAAAGCGCTATGAAAAAAAAACATTTGAATCTGACATGGTTGTAGTGATCCTTGGAATTTGTGACTAAAAGTGACAGGTAGCCATTTGTGTTTCATTTCTCAAAAGAGTCAGTCCTCTGTCCAAAATAGCCTTCACACCCACCCTCTCCACATTCAGAAGGCAGGAGGCTCAGAGCCTCCAGGTGTGGGGGGCTCTCGACACCCTATGGAGAAACTCAAGGTGCCACATCTCAGCAGGGATGAAAGGAGAGAGCATTTATTTGGTGAGCATAGGCTGACACTGTTTCCAGTGGGAAGCTCAAGTTTTGATAATGAAAACTGTAGGACTTGCCAGCCAACCTCCCGGACCTGAAGTGTAGTGTTTTGACGTCTGGGGAAGGATTTCCAGGGCAATGAGGACTGGTTTGTGCAGAAACACCAAATGGAACACAGCATCTCAGATTTCAGACAAACATAACTCATCTTTTGGCAAAAAAATGAAATAAAATAAATAGCATGGAAATTTGACAGTTGTTTGAATAATCTACCAAGTGTTGAGGAGTATGATTTCATTGTAGACACAAAGAATCGACCATCTCAACGAATTTTCAAAAAAAAAGGCTTGTACTTATTCTGTACAAAATTGTCACTTTTGGAACTGCCCCAATTCATCTACACATTGAATTTATTAACACAGCATTAAGTTTCTTTGTGTAAAAAACTCTTTGTACATAGTAATAAAAAAGATAAGGCAGGATGCAGTGGACTGAGCCTCCTGGTCCCTTCCTCCGCATCCCCGCAGAGCCACCAGGGAGCTGCTGCGACAGAAGGAGCCATCTCTGCTTCTCCGCACTGAGCATCCCGCACCTGCGCTGTGGTGAGAATCCTGTCCGAGCACCCTGAAGGACAGAGGCTGCTTGATGGTCTTTGGCACTTACGCTGGCAGACTGAGCTTCTTTCCCTTGAGTACTAGGATTTGGTGGGAAAAGAACAGAAACAAGACATCACTAGGTGGACAGGTTCAGTTTCTTTTTCCCTGGTCTCATACACAGGCCCAAGTACAAGGAAATAACAGCAATAGAAAAAAACAAAACAAAATCAAAAACAACAAAAACCAAACAAAACCACTCAGGAGGCAGAAACAGGTGGATCTCTGTGAGTTGGATGTCAGCCTGGTCTACAGAGCAAGTTCTAGGACAATCAGGGCTACACGGAGAAACCCTGTCTCAAGTGAGCTGGGCAAGCAAGCCCTTGACAGAATCTGCAACAATGAACCTAAGGCCGGACATGACGTACCTTTTGTAATGTATAAGTAAAAGAAGTCGCAGTAGAGAATAGTCTGGACAACACCAGCTACCACAGCAATGAGGTCAAAGAAGCCCTCAAAGTAGAAGCGCCAGATCCAGTTGACTAGGTACAGAGCACGGTAGAGACCCAGGAAGAAGAGGTAGTGGGTGGTGATGGTCTCAGCCTCGCCGGTCTTGCTGATCATAAAGAGCTGTGGGAGGATGGCCACTGACTCCAGGTAGATGGAGAAGGTCCATAAGATCTGAAAGACAGGAGGCTGGTGTCAGCTGGGAGCAGCAAGCACCCACCACATACAACACACATGGCAAAGGCCATACAAGAGGCTGGATGAGCTGCCAACAATGAGCTGGGTAAGGGAATTGTCACATCTTGTCTACCATGAACCCATATGGAAGGTGTTCCTGTGTGGGCTCATCCCACTCCAGATCCAGTCCCCAACCCACCCTGTTTTCTGCCACTGTTTCTGCTGATTCACTACCAACTGACCATATTTTCCCACTATAAATGGCTCTGCCTTACAACTCTTCAACTTTCTAAGAGTATGAAAGCAATACACACTCAACAGAAACCATACTTAAATCTGGGCTGGTGGGATGTACTGATGCTGGGCAGCAGAGGAACTACAGATCCCAGTCAGCCAGTGAATCACCTGTACTGACAGGAAACAATAGCCTACAATGTGTTGGGTTGGTATGCTAGCTACAGTAAATGTTTTCCCTTTGCTTTTTGGCTTTTCAAGATAGGGTTTCTCTGTGTAACAGCCCTAGCTTGTCCTGGAACTCACTCTGTAGACCAGGCTAGACTTGAACTCAGAGATTTACCTGCCTCTGCTGTTAGTATTCAGTTATTGGTACTGGCCTGTCCTTGGGATTCTGACAGGACATGCCCTCAGCTGCAGCCACTTAGAGCACCACCTGTACACATTCACTAAGTTCCCTTTTAAAAGGGCCCTGCCCACCTCCCATCCCTCTTTTTCTCCCCTCCCAACCCCATTTCTCTCTCACTACTCTTGTCCCTAGGGACTGGTCTTTGCTCTTCCTCTGCTCCTTTTTCTGCCCCTTCTCTCTCCTCTTCCAATAAACCTCCTATGTGAGTCCTGTTGTATGGTGTGACTTCTCTTCGAGGTATTTTCCCAGTATTTTGTTTTGTATTTTTGAGACAGGGTTTCTCTGTGGCTATGGAGCCTGTACTGGAACTCACTCTGTAGACCAGGCTGGCCTCAAACTCACAGAGATCAGCCTGCCTCTGCCACCAGAGTGCTGGGACTAAAGGAGCGTGCCACCAATGCCTGGCTTTCTCAGAATGTTTTTTCAACTAGCAATGCATTTGTCAAATGCTGACTCCCCTGTCAGAAGTCAAGGAACTCCTGTATTTTGTGTGTGTGTGTGTGTGTGTGTGTGTATACACGAGTGCCAGGTGTGTGCACAGGTGCTAGTGTTGGGGGACACCTTCGTTGTCATTCCTTAGGTGCCATCTACCTCTTTTTCTGAGATAGGGTCTCTCACTAGCCTAGTAAGTAAGCTGGGTGGTTTAATTCTGATATACCAGTCTATTTACAACAGTGTATATTGTACCAGAAGTCTGCCAAACAGCAAAATTTCTGTTAACAGGGAACCAGATGTGAGCACTAAATAATCCCTTCACCAACCTCAAGAGGAGAGAAGTCATGATTGACTAGAAATGAGAGGCCTCCCACAGGAACCACCAGAAACTCCACTCGAAAGGTATCATGATTTCCATCATAGGTGGCCTTAAATTTCATGTAGATCAGGTACACCGTGGCATAGGAGCAGGCAATGTAGATAAGCTAGGCAGAGGAGAGATACCAGGTTAGGAGCACATTGCAACTAAACACTATTGTACCACAAGATAGTCAGCTTTAAACTCTCTGACTCACTTCTGGCTGGTGTGTACTCCTGAGTGACACAGCCACCACAAGGAGGACACAGGACAGTTCTACCACCCAAATCTTACCCTTGCCTCTTTATAGTTAAGCCCCCTCCAGTCTCCAGTTTTGCTTTTTCTAGAATGTCACCTGAGTGAAGTCAAACAACACATTGCTTTTTGCATCTGGCTTCTTCAGATGACACAATGTGTCTTGAGAGTCAATCAAAGTTGCTACATACTATTTCCCCTTTTTTCTTTTAATTTTTTCTTTTGTCTTCTGTGCATTGTTGTTTTTGCTTGTATGTATGTCTGTGTGAGGGTGTCAGATCTTAGAGTCAGACAATTGTGAGCTGCCATGTGGGTACTGGGAATTGAACCCAAGTCCTCTGGAAGATCAGTCAGTGCTCTTAACCACTGAGCCATCTCTCCAGCCTCAATTTTCCCTTTTTAGAGATCAAAAAAGAATTTTTATTTATGTATATGTATGTGTGCACACGTACTCATAGAGACCAGAAGAGGGCATCAAATCCCATGAAGCCGAGTTACAGTCTATTGTAAACCTGTTGTAAGAAGCCAAATGTAGGTGCTGGGACTTTAACTCTAGACCTCACAATTGAGCAGCAAGCACTTTTATCCACTGAGTCATATCTCTGGCCCATTTCCTCCTTTGTGCTGAGCAGAGGCCTAATGTACAGGTGTATCACAACTTGCTTACTCAGCAGTTAAAGGAGAGGTGTCCTGTTTTCAGTTGGAAGATGGTGATTAGCTGCTATGAACATGTGTTACAGACTTTGTGTGAATGTAAGTTTCATTTTTCTTGCATTTATACCTAGGAGTAGGTTGCTGGATCAAATGTTAAGCATGTGTTTTGAAACTCTAAGAAACTCCAGAGAAACAGGCTTTAATCTCATCTTACCCTATGACAGCAGCTATAGAGGAAAAAGAATGCAAAGTTCACTGCAACTCTGGACCAAGGACTTCCATCCAACACTTCTTTGGCCAGCTATTTTGTAAAGATAAGATAAGCACTGTGATCCAGGTTAAACTTTTGCCACAGTGGCTTTATTAAACTGCACTGTTTTGTTTAGAGTCAGAAAGATGGTTCAGTGAGTAAAGGCACTAGGGCCCAAGCCCAATGATGGAGTTCAATGTCCAGGACATAATGTGTTAAAAGGAGAACCAACTCCGTAAAGGCATCCTGACCCCACACTTGAGGAGAGCCATGTGTGCACCCACACATGTACACTCACAGATATACACAAAATAAACGAACATAAAAACACAAAACACTGTGTTACTTTAACAATAAATATTCAGATTGTTGCTATGAAATGCAGTCTGGTATTGTAACAAAGCAAAGTCAAAAGTTAGCTTTGTTTAAAATTATTACTATTTTAAGATTGTATTTTGTAAGTGTTTTGCCTGCATGTATATACGTACATCACATGCCTATCTGGTGCTCTCCACAGGCAGAAGGGATTGAAGTCCCCGGAACTGGAGTTATAGGTGTAGGTTCCCTGCAAGGGCAACAAGTGATCTAAGACTGAGCCATCTCTCCAGCCCTTAGTATTATTTTTAAAAAATATTTTATTTTTAATTATTACATGTCTGTGGGTTTGTGCACTTGAGTGTGGTAGCTGCAGAGTAGAAGGTATTGGATTCCCTGGAACTGGAGTTATAGACAACATGATGTGGGTGCTAGGAATTGAACTTGTGTCCTCTGTACAAGTTGAGGAACTGGTTGAGAGCACTGGCTGCTCTTGCAGAGGCCCTGGGTTCAATTCCCGGCACCTACATGGTAGCTTACCACTGCCTGTAACTCCAGATTCAGGGATCCAATGTCCTCTTCTAACTTCATGGGCACTAGGCACACATGCCGTACACATACATAAATACAGGCAAAACAACATACATATAAAATAATAAAATAAATAAATCTAAAGTTTTTAAAATCAGTATGAACTTAACATCTTAATTGACGAGCCATCTTTCCAGCTCCAAAATTTATTTTATTCTTGATTTATGTGTAAATGTATGTGCACATGTCTGTATGTCTACAAAGGCCAGAAAAGGGAGTCAGATCCCCTGGAGCTAGAATCACAGGCTGCTATGTGTGCTGGGTACTAAATGCCTGTCCTCTGTAAGAGAAGCAAATGCTCTTTGAGCTATCTCCCCAGTCCCCTGGAAGCTAGTTTGTAACACACTTCTGCCTCCAAGACAGCAATTTTGGGCACACAGAAACAGAGCTGTTCAAGGGCTCACAATTGAGTCCTGTGTTCTTCCATCTTTAAAAGGTCACCCAGCCACAAGGAAAAGCCTCATATTCTGAAATTATATCAATTTGTAAACTGCAGACACTAGGGCCTAAGAAGCAAATGTAGATTTCAATCATGAATAGAGATCGCCTGGGATAGAACAACTTTAAAATTTTAAATAGGAAAACACTGGAGCAAATAACTTAATGGGGAAATAGGGTAATCACCAAGCCCGTACATAGTTTTAAAACCCACAGTGACACTAAAAAGTCCTTCATTATGCATTTATGTATGTAAATTGTTGGTTTTAACCCTACACATGCATTAATAAAAACGCACATGCCAGTACACCCACATTGCACCCCTTCTGAACCATACCTAGTCTAGGCTTACTATAGCCAGGGGATTCCCAGGGCTCTGCCTGTGACCCACAGCTGGGCTCTGGCTCTACAAGCAAGCAAGCAAGCAGGATTGTGCTGAAAGTTGGGACTCAGTAGGAAGAGAGGATTCTGACTCTCCCATCCCCAGTACCTGCAGTTTTATCTTACTCAGACAGTAAGCAGAACCCTAGTCACTCTGTATATATACATTCATCCAGGTTTGTGTAGGACAGAAGTCAACCTTGAGTGTCTTTGAGTTATTTTTATTTATGTGTATGTCTGTTGAAGTATATGGCATGTATAGGGATGCATGGCAGAAGCCACAGGAAAGCCAGATCCCCTGGAGTTTCTTGATATGGGTGCCAGGAACCAAACTAATTTTCTCTGCAAGAACAGTATGTGTTCTTAACTGCTGAATCATCACTCCAGCTACAGTTTTTGAGACAAAGGGCTCAGCAATCAGGCTAGGTTGGCAGGACTCTGAGCCCTGGGGATCTTCCTGTATCTACCTCCCTAGAGCAGGGAATACAAGTAAGTGCCACCACACCCAACTTACATGGGTGCTGAGGATCAAACCAAGGTCCTCTTGCTGACATGGAAGCCATGTCCCTAGCCCAACCTAGCCACTTTTAAGGCAGCCAAATATTTCCTGATTACTAGAGTCCAGAATAAAATGATTATAGGTGACTCATACTTGCCCTTTTTTCCTAAAATGTTTAAACATTTACTTATTTGATATATGTGTTTGTGTATGTGTATGGTAGTTAAGGGATAACTTGTGGGAGCTGGTTCTCTTCTTCCACCACCTGAATCCCCAGGATTGAAATCAAGTTGTCAGGCTTGGTGGCAAGCCTCCTTACCCACTGAGCCACCTCACTGGCTCTCAAATTTGTTTTTTGCTTGTTTTTTTTTTTTTTTTTTTAAGCAAAGATCATAAACCCAAATACAACATGCCTACTTTAACCTATACTCATCAAGATGCTTCCAAACAGTGTTGTGTAGGTTTACCATGCTCTAAAGTACTTGTAGAATGAGGCCCCCAAGTCAATTCCCAGCACTGCAAAAAAACAAGAAAGCAGAGGGGAGCTGGTTGGGAAGAGAAAGGGGATTAGCAGAAGAGGGACAAGAGAGTGCAATGAGGTGACTATGACTGAAAGTTCAAATCTCTATAGAGACAAACATGCAGACACAGCAGCCAGATGGCTCAGTAGGTAAAAGCCCTTGCCAATTGAGCCTGACAACTTGAGTTGGGTAAAAAGAGAGAACTTATTCCCAAAAGAATCCTCTGGCCACCACACGGCATGTGCTTGCCTCATTAATATATACACACATTGAAGATGAAACATTTTTAAAAGAATAGCGTATCTAGCTGTTTTTCTTAGAGATTTTAAATTAAAAAAAAAAAAAAAAAAAAAGCTAATCGTTCCCATAGGTGTGTACATGGTGGATAAATGCACTGGAGCTGATATTCTACCATACCTTCATAGATGTATTATATAGTGAAATGAATGAAGTAAAAAGATCCAGGTAACGCGTTGTGAAGACCAATGCAAACAGAAGCTGGCTTTTCCCAGAAATGCCTAAAGAAACAAAAAGTGAGAGTTAGAACAGCCCTGGGGAAGAACTTTGGCTCCTGAGATCATCCTGGGCAGCAAGTGCACAGACAGGGAAAAGGTACTTGAGGTCAAAGGCCCAGGCCTGGGGACAACTGATTAAACTACAGAAAATATAGCACCCCCTTTCGGCTCTCTTAACTGGTCTTGCTATGGTAGATGAATCTAGAAAAGTGACTTTGTTACACTACCACCAATACACGAGATGTGTGCCCTCCAAGGACTGAGGTCAGTTTACCACTTGCTATGAGCATCATACCATCTTTACCTTCATATGCTTAATACCCAAGGCTGGCTGTGCAGGCACATGCCTGAATTCCCAACACCTGAGAAGGAGAAGCAGGAAGAGTAAATTCCAGGCCTGCCTGAACTATACAGGGAACCTTGTCTGGAAACAATACCAAGTAAAAACTATTAACACAGTGTAACTAATAACACAGTGTCACACCTTGACACTGTGTTTCCAACTGCACAGCAGGGCAGCTACCGCTCATATGGGGAAGACCAGAACACAGTGCACATGACCTTTCAGACATCTACATCTGCCCACATGGCTGTATGAATTTCAAGATGTTGCAGACTGAGCAATTTGACAACTGGATAGTGGCTGATAACAGGATCTGACCTCGTTGGCAGTACACATTCCACCCACTGTACAGCACTCCTGCGGAACATGGTAAGGGCACTCTTCTCTGACATTCTCAGGTCATTTCCAGCTTACGGAAACTACAGCCTGGATGTAAGAACTTTCTCATGAGTGAGGAGCTCATTCACAAATAAATATAAAGGAGGAAGGTGACTCTGCTTGCATGCAAGGGTCTAGGGCAGAGCTGGGCAGCCAATCTGCTGCTCACTTCTTGCCTCAGAAATGAGGACTTTTTTCTATCAAAGATTAATGTTCCAGAGGAGAAATGTCAAAGCAGATGCTAAACACTAGGGTGAGAAGGACAGGAGCCACAGACAGGTCCTAAGGGATGTTTAGTGAAGTCTTGAGAATTCTCCAGTTCATTTGCTATATGGTTCTTTCCAGTATTTTCAATAAAGCAGGACACAGACAGGCAGTTTGCCAAAAAAGGGTTTATTCCAATGGGACTTTGGCACCAGGTACATCCTTATTGTTTCAACATTCCTACACTAAAAGCCAAGAGTGGTAGCTTACCACTGTCCTTTGAGACTCAACTAAACCATCACCTCTACTTAAGAGACACCCTGCCTTAGGGCTGCTGATTCATCCCGCAGGCACTTCATGCCAGCTGCTACCCTGGATTCTCTATGGGCACTATACATACACCGTGGGGCTGGCTCAGCAGATGAAACCACTTGTCATGCAAGTAAGAGGACTCCCGGAACCCATGTAAAGCAGCCAGGCACAGCAGCAGGCAGTTGTGATCACGGCATTGGGAAGTAGAAACAGGAGAACCCTGGAGGCTCATGGACCAGCTAGCCTGATTTATGAAATGGAAACAATAAACAGACAGTGGCTCACACAAGGTGGAAGGCAAGGACACCTGAGCTTGTCCTCTGGCCTCACACACTCACACACAACTCTAAATGATCTGGTTCCCATACCCACCAAAACCCCCAATAGACACAGGACTCTCTTGTGGAAGTTGTGCCTCATTCCACTTAGTATTTCCTATGCTGGGCACTACACAAGACATGTAGTCGGGTCCAAAAAAACACATGCTTAAAGGAAATGGAATTCATTTCTTCTTCATGTCCTGGTGCAGTCTCACTAGGTGCTATTTTGGATGAAACTTTCAGAGACTCTGAGTCCTACTGTGTTTCTATGACAGTAAACAGATACTGTGTTCTGGGCTCTGCCTAACTGACTACAAACTGGAGAGTGAGATTCTCTGAATGAATACTTGGCAAAGGAGAAGTCAGGTGGTATGTGTGATGGCGTGGAATCCACAAAGGAACTACCATCTGGGAATCCTGGATGCTTACAGGATGCAGCAACCATTCTCCCTGACCTGGAGCTTGACTAGCATGTAGCAGCTTTTCTCTTTACCACTGAGACGGTGCCTTATCTCACAGAAGGAAGCAATCTCCAGTTAAAGACAGGAGGGGGTGGGCAAGAATCAGCTGGAGGGGTAGGGGTGGCACAGATTGGCTACTACCTTATCTGTCTATTGATGGATCTGCAGTGCTGGATGTCAGTCCTTTGGTCTGTATGTCTGCCTGCAGTTCCCAGGGCCTCATGTTAGGCAAGCCCTTTACTACTGAGCCACAATGTCCGGCAATACCAACCTGATCTTGATTCCAAGGCAATCATGATGTAATAAGTGCTCAGAGAGCACTACTGTCAACACTTCCGTCCAACACCCTGGTACCCAATGCACCTAACAGCTACACTTAAGAGCAGACTTCAAATTAGTACTGCTCATTCTTGTCTTCCCCACAGAGCTCAGTAAGGTTCATCAAAGCTCACAGGACTTTAATTACAGCCAATGTTCAAAGTTGGGTTTCTGCCATTCCTACTGGTTAATAGAACAGACGCCTTATTCAAACAAAGGAGATTCTAATAATAGCAGGGATGCCACCAAGCACTGTGGGTCAGGCCACCCAGAAAGGCTGCAATCCTAGGATTCTCTCAAAGGATCTGGGTATTCTAGATTTAAACACACACACACACACACACACACACACACACACACACACACACTCACTCACTTACTTGGTGGGGACAAATAGCCCAAGCTGACTTTGAATCTGCTATGGGTTAAAGCCAGCCTTGAGCTCCTCATTCTCTTGCCTCCAACTTTCCAAGTGTTAGAATTATAAATGCACAATGTCACACCCAGCATGGACATTTAAAAAAAAAAAAAAAAAAAAAAAAAAAAAACTCATGGCCTTTCCCAGGACTCCACAACTCAATACTTGAGAACAGCCTCACAGCCGAGCATAGCAGAACCCACAATCCCAGCTTATCTGTAATCAGGAAGCTGAGGCAGGAAGATCAGAGTTCAAAGCCAGTCTGGGCTACATGTCAGGCTCTTCTTGTCTCAAAAAACCCACCAAGGGCATGGAATGTAGCTCAATGGCAGAGTATCTAGCATGCCCAAGGCTCTAGGTTACATTCTCAGCAGGAAGGGAGGTGCTTTTAGAACCAGAGGGTCTAGGTTCAAACTCGGTTGATATTTAAGGCTGGACCTATTTATGCCACCCTAATTCTATTTTCTGTGCTGTCAAACACAGATTATACTAACTTGTTGGGAATGCTGAAAAGATGGAGGAAAGTGCTTTATAGTGTACATGTCGTTGCAAATACCTGAAAAACAACAGTTAATGTAAAAAAAATACATACCAATTATTTTAAAACTTTTCAAATGGGCTAAAATATACAATATGTAGAATGACTATAAGGTCTCTCTCTCTCTCCCTCTTTCTCTCTCTCTTTGAGACAGGGTTTCTCTGTGTAGCTTTGTAGAGCAGGCTGGCCTTGAACTCACAGAGATCCATCTGCCTCTGCCTCCTGACTGCTGGGATTAAAGGCATTCACCACCACCACCGGCTAGGTTTTCTCTCTTTTAAAAGATTTATCTTTCTTACTTTTAATTATGCGAGTCTTTGTCTGTGGGTTAAGTGCATATGAGTGCAAGTGCCTGAACAGGCCAGCAGAGGGCAAACCCAAGCCCTCTGCAAGAGCAGCAGGTGCTCTTAACTACTGAGCCACCTCTCCAGCCCTTATAGTCCTCTCTCCATTCATGTTTGTATGTGTACCACATCCATTTCTACCCTAAACTGTTGTTTGAAGTCTTACCTTGGAATCATCTTTTCCTTCTAAGAACACACATGTCTGATTCCATCCTATTTAATGTCTTCACAATGTTCAGTGTGGACATAACAAGATTTATGAGACCACTGAACATTTGAATTATGTGGCTCAGTGAGTGCTTGACTGGAAAGCACAAAGCCCAGCACTCCATAAGCTGGGCATGACAGCACACACTTGTGATCCCTACTCTGAGGTAGAAGCAGGAAAGTAAGAAGCCTTTACCCTCCTTGTTGGGAAGTCACAGGAGGTATCCTTGGGGGGGGGGGGTCTCTTCTTCCACTTCACACTCATAGAAGTTATTGCCCTTATGACTTGACAACCATGTCTGTACCTCTTCACACATGATTTACCATCTCGCTTGACCTGCACCTATCTTCATGCAATGCTAAGGCTGTAACCCAGGCCCCACTACAGCATCCTTTTTATTCTTTCAAGATTCTTTGCAGCCAAAGATGGCTTTGAAGTTCTGGTCGGCCTATGTCTATTTCCAGAATGCTGGAATTATTGCACACACTGCCACACCCAGTTTATAAAATGCAGGGATGGAACCAAAGGTTCTGTCATTGCAGCCTTACAATGGAAACTGTTGCCACCTGCTGCTGTCTCAGTGTTGTGTACACAGAAGGTGGTCAATCAATGCATGACATGATTACTAAGAGACTAGCCCTCAAAGCAACAGAGGAAACAGCTCCACGAGGAAGCCAGGAATGTGATGCAAAAGCTTCAAATACTCATTGTCAACAACAAAAATAACCGTAGAGCACTTGACCAGCATGCACAAGGTCATGAGGTCCTAAATTCAATCTCCAATACCAGCAAAAAAAAAAAAAAAAAGTGTTTTCCATTTGCTTCAAATAAACCATTCAGTCGCAGTTGCTCTTGTCAAATCTGATAGGTTGAAAAGTTTACAACCAGCACAATGGCTAGGAGGAAAGGGGGCAGGCTGGAGGTCACCACCCATCTCAGGACTCCACCAGTCACTTATTCAGTGCTCAACACTGACAGTGATTATCAGCTTATAGGGAAAGTTAGATAGAAAGCACTTCATCTAAAAACACAGCTTTGGGATGTGCTTGCTTGACTTCAGCGAGGCCCCAGGTTCATACTCTAGCAGCATAAATAAGTAAATACATAAGGTACTATAGATAAGGGCTTAGGACAAAAAAATGACAACCTGATAGACAACTTGACCATCATGGTGGCTGGCAGTTTGGGAACACGAGACACCCTCCACACTTCATCTGATGTAATGACAACAGATGCAGCCACAGCATTTACATTCATGCAAGATCAGCTCACTACCCCCAATACAGAACAGGTCCTTAGAGGCTTAGGGGTGATGCACACCTGCAATCCTAGCTCCTGGAAGGCTGAAGCAGGAGGATTCCAAGTTTGAGGCAACACTGAATACTCAAAAAACAAAATGTCCCACTTCCTAGCTGCCTCATCCTCCCCTTAGGGAAAAATGTCCTGTGGGCTAGGAGTTGCTGGAGTGTTCAGCACTGGTGTTGAAATCCTAAAATGAGCTCTGACTTACAAGCTGAGAACCACCACCTGGATGGACATGGCTTGGGTTCCAGATATTTGAGAAACTCTGATCAAGTTCTTCCTCTCTCAAAAGTCGCTAAACAACTTTTATAACTTAGCCTGGAAAAACAGCAGCTAGGACAAGTCAGTGTTTAATTCAAAACAAATCATCTTGGTGAGTTTCCTTTTTGAGAGGCCAGAAAATTTTATATGCCAGAATGAAGAGGACCCTGAGTCAAGAGTGAGTTTAATAATGTCCATGGGATACTTGGGAAACACTCCTGAACTGAGCTTACCCACTTACCTCCCATCTTGGCACTTCAACTGGAATACTTCCTTCTCCTTAATGCTCTAATCTCCCATGAAAACAATGAATATTAAATAGCACTCCTTTCCTTTTCCTTGTTACTCAAGGTTCCTTTAAAAATTCTACTTATGGGGTGGGAGAGACAGCTCAATGGCTAAGAGTACTTGCTGCTCTTGCAGAGAACCTAGGTTTGTTTTTCAACAACCACACAGTGGCTTATAACTGCCTGTAACTTTAGTTCCAGAGGATCTGACACCTTCTACTGGTCTCCTGTGGGCTTCTGCACACTTGTGGTGAACACGCACACACACATATGCACATAAAAAAAATGAGTAATTAAAAAAATCATGTATTTCTGGGGGTTGGAGAGATGGGTCACCCATTAAGAGGATGTACTATTTTTGGAAAGGACCTGAGCTCAGTTCTCAGCACATTAGGCAGCTCAAAACTGCCTGTAACTCCATCTCCAGTGGAGATGATGTCTTCTCTTGGCCTCCATAGGAACCAACACTCATACAATTAAAAATAAATCTCTACTTGGCAGAAGAACATAAGGAATGAAGAAACTTATAGATTTTGAAAGAAAGCTAAAGACTAAAAGTAGTGTCCAATGCAACGACAAAAAAACAAAAACAAACAAACAAAAAACCACCTAAACCAAAGGCATCAAATATACAAACTAAAACCATGTGGGACAAAGCAAATGTTAATTTGAAATCCCAACTTATGAATTCCTGGTTATGTTTCAATCTTGGCTTCATTAAAACTGTGCTTACCTCCCTAAGACCTGCCCACATGGTGATTTTAAGTACTGCCTGAGATGAGCTACATAAAACACTGAGCTGGCTACCGAATGCATACCTACTGCAATTGTAGCCATTAATTTGCTGTCACACAAATCACACAACTGAGCTTCTCAGGTCACCTCCAAGTCAGACACGATGTTTTCAGTATAGGACTTTGGAACATTCACTTTGACTGAGCAAAGGTCTTTTTTGGCTGTGCTCACTTCCTGGATCTCAACTATGTTCCAGGGAGAGAGAAGAGACCTTCAGACAGCAGAGTCAAAGGGGAGTGTTAACTTTAGATGCGGAGGTGTTTACTAATAAACCAGATAGGTGGCATCTCAACCACCCAGGTCCTTTAGGACTCCTCCTATCTTCTGCTGTCTCTGAAAAAAAAAAATAAATTTTGAGTTCACAAAGTTATTTTATTGGTAGCCATAGCATTGGGTTTAAGAATAAATTTTGGAGCCAGGCATTGGTAGTGTATGCCTTTGATCCCAGCACTCAGGAAGCAGAGACAGGCAGATCTCTGTGAGTTCGAGGCCAGCCTGGTCTACAGAGCTAGTTCCAGGACAGGCTCCAAAGCTACACAGAGAAACCCTGTCTCGAAAAACCAAAAATAAAAAAGAATGTATTTTGGGTTTTGGGGAATAATTTGTTTTTGGAGACAGGGTCTCATATAGTCCATGCTGATTTTGAATTACTGCTCATCAGGTTTCAACCTCTCAAATGTTTGGATTACAAGCAAGCACCATCACATTCTCCAAGATATTATCTAAACCTTAGAAGATTCTTAAGATTTAATGAAATGCAGAAATTCACAGCTATTGTGTGGGTAAAGTTCATTCTAGTGCCTCTCTGCAATACCCAAATGAAATATGCATGCACTTCGAGGGAGGAACAGGGCCAACTCACTGGTGACGTGGAGCCAGGAAACTAGATGAGGGCATAGAGGAGACCTCAGTGGTACCCAGCGCTTGCAGCTTAAGAGAACCAGGTATTAGAGGGCCACACTTAGGAATGAAAAAAGGAGCTCGATTCTCAAAGTGGCATGAAACTGTGCCGAGTAATTCACTCACTTACAAACACATCTTTTTTTTATGATGGGTGAGATCCTGAACCCTAAGACTTTTGTGCAGCCCACTTAACTGTACGCACAGGCCTGACCTGACACCATCCTGCCTCCCCACCCCACCTCCTGCTCCAGTCCTTGACAAGAACAGGATGAAGAGCAGGATGCCCTCTTCCTCCAGCCAGCCCCACCTTCGCGGGTGGCCTGGTTGCCACGTCAGGCCCTGCTCTCCCCCCCCCCCCCGTTCCTACCCATCCTCCTCGATCAAGTTTCTCATTGATTGCTGGGCACTCAGAGGCGCCCCCCAAAAGCCCAAGGAGAGGGACACGCCTACTAGAACCCCTCACACCTGGTCCTAAACTTTTCAGACCCAGCAGGACCCCGGGGCAGTTGCGCTAGCGCTCTGCACCCGGACGGATCAAGTTCGCGGGCGGACCAAGTGCAGATCGGGGCCCAGAGCTGCTACGGAGACGCCAACCCCTGTGCACACCCGGAGGGGTTTCAATGCCCGCAGGGCCGCCTGAGGTGGGTGTGTCTGGCCGTCGCGGGCCCCGCGCAAGGCTCAGAGAGACCGAGGGCCGAACGGGTCCTTCCGTGCGGTCCTGCCCCTCGCGCCTCGCCCCGGCGACCGCTCACCCGCACAGGAGCGCGTCTTCCAGATCTTCAGCAGTAGGATGACGATGGCCGCCAGGTGGGACAGGTCCCCAGTCAATCGGAAGATGTTCATGGTGGCGGCGGTCGGCGCGGCGCAGCGGCCCCGGGGCTCGGCAGCGACTCAGGACGCGGCGACAGCCCCTGAGAGAGGAAGCGGCGAAAGATGGCGGGAGCGGGCGCGACGTGGCCAGGGACGTGGCCGAACTGCCGTCGCGCGCGCGGGGCAGCCTGGGAGAGCGGGCGACCGCTGGAGCCACGCCCCCTATCACGCCCCTTAAAGGCCCCGCGGCCGTGAGCAACTGGACCCTACATCCCGCGTGGGCTGCCAACTGAGGACCCAGAGTGCTCCGCAATTTCCGTCTCCAGGGTTTCCGCCTGGGTGCCAGCGATTTCCTTTTTTAAGTTTTGGAATGACACTCCATTGTGAGTATTGTCTTCTTTTTTTCCTACCCTACTAAGACTGCAGGGGTATCACTCTTAGGGGCATTTGTGAGGGTGATAAGCACTATTAAAATCTCTGCGGTCAAGAACGCGTGCTTCTCTTGTAGAGGACCCAAGTTCAATTCGCAGCACCTACATCAGGCGGCTTACAATGCCTGTAACACTAGTTCCAGGGGATTTGAGGCTTCTGGTTTTTGAGGGCACCTGCATTGACGTGCATATATCCACACACAAACTAGCACACACATTTTAAATAATAAAAATAAATCACAAAACTTTAAAAGTCTTAATTTTTATTAAAAATTACATTAGGAGCTAGGTGGTACTGGCGCATGTCTGTAATACTGGCACTTAGGAGGCAGAGATAGGCAGATCTCTGTGAGTTTGAGGCCAGCATAAGCTACAGAGTGAGTTTCAGGGCAGTCAGAGCTACACAGAGGAAACCCTGTCTCTAACTACGCCCACTCCCCAAATCAACCAATTGCACAGGGCTAGAGAGATGGCTCAGCGGTTGAGAGCACTTGCTGTTCTTCTAGAAGACCTGAGTTTGATTCCCAGCCCCCACAACCGAAGGCTCACAACACAACATCATGTAACTTCATCACTAGGAAATCTGACACTTCTGACCTTTGAGGGCCCTTTCACTAATACACACACAGACACACACACACACACACACACACACACACACTTGAAATAATAAAAATAAATCTTTAAAAGTACATTTATTTGTGGATGTTTGTGGGGACATCCAATCAGATACAGTTCTCTCCTTCCAATGCTTGGATCCCTGGGATTAAGTCAAGTTGCCTGACTTATTGACAAGCTCCTTTAACCACTGAGAAATCCCACTACTTCGTTTCTGTCTTCTTCCTCCTCTCCCTTGTCTTTCTTTTTGCTTTTATGTGTGTGTGCACATGTGTGTGTTATGAAGCCATATATTGACATCTAGGGCTTTCTAGATCACTTTACAACTTATATATTGAAGCAGAACCCAGAGCTTGCTGATTTGGCTAGTCCAGCCAGCCAGCTTGCTGAGGGGATCCCTTATCTCCACCTCCAAAGCTCCACCACACCTGCCGCCTGCCTAGCATTTATGGGGGTGCTGTTTCTCAGAGACTTTCTTGTCTTTGGCAATCTTTCTGGATTTACAGTGTTTCTTGTTTGTCATTTAAGAAGAAATTTGAAGAGTTCAATTAAGGGGCTGGGGATATGGGGTTGGAGAGATAACGTAGTCAGTGAAGTGCTTGGTGCTTGCTACACACACACACACACACACACACACACACACACACACACACACACACAAATCCAGCCCAGGATTAGCCATCTCCCCAGTCTCACTGTTAATGTTAACAATTAGTTCAATTAGTTCTTGTAAGTCATTGTCAGTACTCCTGGTTATTTTCCTGTAAATAAGCAATGATGTTGGGGAATGGGGCAGTTTGAGTCCTGAAAAGGCATGTACATCCCTGGCTACCTTGAATGAAACAACTGTCACTCAGCCAGACAGTGGTGGCACACAACTTTGATCCCAGCACTTGGGAGGCAGAGGTAGGCAGATCTCTGTGAGTTTGAGGCCAACCTGGTCTATACAGTGAGTGCCAAGACAGCTTGTTACACAGAGATTTCCTGTTTCAAATCCCACACCCACACACACAAAGAAACCTACGTAATGATGGTGTGTGTGTGTGTGTGTGTGTGTGTGTGTGTGATGACTTGCGGGGAAGTATGTGCCATCATATGTAAAGGACTGAGGACAATTTGCAATTTATTCTTTCCTTTCATTATGTGGGTTCTGATGATTCAATTCAGGTCATTTGGCTTGGCCACAAGCACCCTTACTCCACTAAGCCACCCTGCTGCCCCAGTGATGGCTGTTGATTGTTCCTATGCCTGAAGGAACAGCTTCAGCAAGAACTGTTTCAAAGGTGACTGGACCTTTTGTTACCAGTAGTTCATTTGAATTCTAGATGATCCTGTAACTATTTCCACTGAGGTACTTCCTTAATAGTTTCCCAAAAGGACTGCTGGTACAGCTAAACAGGCAATGCAGTGATTGGTGCTTGTCAGGTTTGCTGTGATTGGTAGAAATTCCCTGGCTCACTTAGCGAGGCATCATTCCATGGGTGATCTTTTCATTTTCTGCCTGTTTTGTTTTAACAATTTTTTTAAAAAACATTTTACATGAATGAATGTTTGCCTCCATGTATTCATGCAGTGCTCTCAGTGGCCAGAAGAGGGCGTTCTTCAGCAAATGCAACCTGCAAATTGAAAATGCTTTATCAAAGCTTTGCTTTGGATACATAGTGTCAAACTGAAGTATAGAAAGGAGTTAGTCATAGGCTCACTGGGCTTTTTTTTTTTTTTTTTTGAGACAGGGTGTCAAGTCACCCAGGTTGGCATCAAACTTAAAATGAAGCCCAAGATGACCTTGAGTGTTGGGATAACAGGCATGTACCCACACCTGGCTTCTGTGGTTTGTGGATGGAACCCAGGGCTTCTTGAATGGTAGGTAAGCAATCTACCAAGTGAGCTGCATTGCTAGCTCCTGGTTGTTTTCTTGAGCAACTCAGTAGCCCTTGTTTTCGTGTTACTTTGGTTTGGTCAACCAGGAAATTATTGAGCACCTGCTGCATGGAGAGGCTGGCACAGCTGTACCATCGGGAGGAACCTCTGCATCAGGTAAGACAGCTGGTGGCTGAACCCTGGGCCTGTGCAGATTTGCCAAGGGAGGGCAGGCAGCAGCTGGTTTAAAGGTCATGGTAGATAAGGAGAACAGGTTCTCAAGGCTTCCTTCCTATGTGGGCAAGTGGTAGGCTTAGAAATGTGCAGAGAAACCAGTCTGTGAGAAACCAGGTGAGTAGAGGACACTGGTGACAGGCAGAGACAGTGGCTTAGGAAGGTCTGGTGCTGAGGGACAGGAGAGGGCATCAACCCCTAGGATCTAGGATTTTAGGGGCAACAGAGAGAAGGGGCAGAAAGAGCCAGGGGACAGTGACCTATGGCCACTGATGGATGGAGAGGCCTGGGAGCCTAGGAAGTTAGGTGCATGGTAATTAGCTTTTAGGGCCCTCAAGATGGCTCAGCAGGTAACAGTGCTTGCCACCAAGTCTGACATCTTGAATCTGATCCCCAAGACCTACACGATGAAGGGAGAAAACTGACTCCTGCAAGATGTCCTCCACAATATACTCTCAAACACAACACATACACACACACACACACACACACACACACACACACACACACACACTTTTGTGCACATACATACATATATGCACACAAACATAAAGATTTTTAAAGGGAGAAGGGGACAGCAAGATGACTCCTCTCAAGCCTGATGAACTGACTCCAGTTCTCTAGACCCACATGGTCAAAGGAGATACACCTGATCCCACAAGTTGCTTTTTGACAGTCACGTAAGTGGCATGCTGTAGGGCCTTGCATGGACCCATGAGGCACCTTTAGCTAGCCTGAAACTGCTGGCCAGAACTTCTTGCCCCAAAACTGTTATTGGTACTCTTCCCATTTTGATAACACACATCTCGTGATAACACACACCTAGTGGGGAGGAGCTAAGCCTAAAAATCCTGTTATTTTCCACTGTGCTATAAGTCAGTATTTAAGACCGTTCCCTCTCCTCAATAAACAGCATTCGGTGGTCCAACATTGCCATTGCATGAGTGACCCGCTGTCTTGTCTCTTTATTTCAATCTCTAGGCCTTCACCCAATTCGTGGAATAGATCATAGTTTCTCTCTCTCTCTCTCTCTCTCTCTCTCTCTCTCTCTCTCTCTCTCTCTCACACACACACACACACACACACACATACAAATAAATGTAGTATAACTTACTTTTTAAAAAAAATAGCTCTGACTAGGAAGAGAAGAGGGCAGGATCACAAGACATGTGATGAGCTGGAGATAGGGCAGACACAGAAAATTGTAGACTGTGTGCTGTGGTGTGTGTGTGTGTGTGTGTGTGTGTGTGTGTGTGTGTGTGTGTGTGTGTGTGTGTAAGGACCTTACCCCTGCCTGACAGAATGTAGTCACTGTGAAGCATCCTTTACCAAGAGACTTCTGAGACTTCCTCTGGGCTAGAATTATTCACATTGTCCTCGGTAACCACCCTGCTCCAGCTAAACAACTCCTAACCTCTGTGAGCCCAGCTGTGCCTGCTTGCAAAGATGATGCAGTCCAGCTGGACTTGCTGACTGTTGACATTCCCTGTAGAAGGACAGCGTAAATGTGGGGGTGTAGACCCTCACCGTCGTCCATCCAGCTGCTCCTCCAAGCCAGTTTTGTGCAGTTTTCTCATAATTGTGCAGTGGCCTGGTGGCGGATAGTCTCAGGAGGTCCTAGAATACATGCTGGGAAGGAGGCTCCCTCTCTATGGAAGCCATCATTCTTGCTGGGTGAAGACATTCCAGTACAGCTGCTCTGGGGTTCCCTACACTCCTGCCAGTAACTCCTAAGCCAATAAACTCATTGGTCCTGCAGGGGAACTTGGGTGGAATCATACTTTTGTTTGACATCAAGACCTTTGAAGGACAGGGTAGACACGGTGTATCCCCCCCCTCAGGAGAAAATTCTGACAATACTAGTTCATAAAGGTACTGTGATGGACTCAATTGGGTTCCCCTCAAATTCAGAGGTTGAGGCCCCAACCTGCACTATCAGAGGTTGTGAGTGTATTTGTAGACAAGCCCTTAAAGAGGTCATTAAAAGCAGAGGCAGAGGATTCAGAGTTAGAGAGCAGCTGCTGTTGCATATT